ACGTGACTGAAAACTATGAACAGGCCCCTATCTCACAACGGTGAAGAATCCTCACTGAACTTGGATTCTGTGTAGCACCAGGTATGACTGAGCAGCTCTCAGGCACACGGTTGCACCCACAGGGTGTGTTGGGACATGTCGCTCCATTTCCAGTTATCTGTAGACAGTTTATCATCACTATAATCTTCTGGATTTGTTGTGCTGTTTGTGTCTTGAAACGACACTGCTGCATCTTTTTATCCTGTTCTCTGTAAAGGCCCTAATCGTCACCAGCCTTTATTTTCTTCCTATTTTTATTTGCACTTCCTGTCACATTAAACAAAAATAGAAACCTTAAGGACACATTTAAAACGGCATCTGTGAAAGATGAGTATAAAATCCAAGGACTTTTTTCAAATAAGTGACTGGTGCTTTAAAAGCCTCTACCCTGTAACACGAGAGCATGTGTCCTACTTCTTGGCAGTTGGCACATAACTGTTGTTTTACGTAACACACTTCATCCCATTTCATCTGGTGTTGCCATGGTGAGGCTAATTTATACAGGCACTAAGAATTAGGCACCTGTTATTAACTTGCACTGGGACTGACACTGATTTTAACTGAAATACACACTTGGAACCAGGCAAAGACACACTTTCAGAGGATATTTCAAGTGTTAACTTTGTGTGTGCGTGCAGCTGTTTGCGTGTCTGCTTGAGACTCTTGCGCAAAAGATGAGAAGGAAGTGGGCACAAGCTAAATACCAGTGTGTGTGTTTTGAGCTGCAACATTTAACAGAAGATAAGAAGCTCAGAATGACTGATGTGATGATCAGTATGGAGGACGTAGAGATGCTTTGGCATTTGTCTACATGGGCTGTCTCCTCTTTTGGGATTGCTACAAACTTGGTAAAGGAAATTAGGGAGAGTTCATAGCTGTTACATGGGTTTACCACCATTCTTCATTCAAATTGTCTCAAAAAAAGTTAACCCAAAGATAAGGGTTCAGCTTTCTCTTGCTGTTTCATGCTAAAGCGCCCCTTAGCAGCAATGCTCGACACTGCAGCTTTCACCTGCATCACATTAGGATTTTCAGGTGACACCAGCAAGAACACAACGATGTGTGAATTGAGCTTGTGTAGCTAAAACAGTCTGTCTATGTATGAAGTACATTTCGGGCATTAGTGTGACTCTTTAGCCCATAACAGTGGCTAGATGATTCACTCCTTCTTTCCTTTCCTGTGTCCTTTCCTCTCTTTAGAGCTTCTCTCATTCCTCCCTTTAGTCATACAGTTTGCCCCTCACCCCCCAGCAAACTGGTATTACATCAGGTGTCTGACTTGTGTGATTCATGACTGTGTCTGTCTCATTTGTCCACTCTTGCTAAGCTGCAGTTCAGCATACTGATCTAATGCTCATATGTACCACAACAACACACACTCACACACATCAGTGAGGGCAGTTAAGTCTGTTGGTGTGTCAGCACCAGAGAAGAAAGACAAGTGAATGGACTGAGTGGCAGCTGTATTCAATGTGGGTAAAGGCTGGCATCAAACCAGAATACACTGCAAGTGGGCACTGTTGGTTTGAAAGGCTCTTTAGACAAGATGAGCGGTGACACTATTGAGGTGCAGAGGAAGGGCTTTATGATTCAACTCTTTCTGAGGTTGCATGGGTGTGTGTGTTTGTGGGGCACAGTGATTACGTTTGTGTTGAAGGAGCTTGCTGAGGCTGGGAAAATCCAGAAGACTGGGTATGAATGTTTTGCATACCTCTCATGCCAAAAGGTCTACTGCAGGAACAAGAGAGTCAAAACTGGATGTTTTTTCTTTAACTTTGGGGTAAATAGACATTATTTTAACTCTTAAACCTTTAATATGCATGGAATAATCCATAAAAATCACTATATACTTAATCTAGAGCAGTTATCATCTAGAATAGTTATTTTCATGATCAATTTGTCTGCAGATTTTTTTTTTTTTTGGTTAAACTTTGACTAAAAACTATCAGTAAATAGTCAACATGTCAGTTTCCTTCATGACTTGTCAGGCATCTTGTGTAGAGCTAGTATTTATTTTTACTGTCAAATATGACAAAGAAAAGCAGCAAATCCTCACATTTTAGAAACTCTTATGTACAAAATGTTTTGCTTGAATATTATTTTAACCATTGGACTGATTTGCACGAACAACAAGCAGCTGATGTTCATCCACTAGGTTTGTAGAAGCTGGTTAAACATCCACCAGTGCAATGCAGATTTTTTGCTAACAAAGCCTTTGGTGTTTTACTTGAAACACAAGTATTGCGTTTGTTTCTGAGGGAGAGAAAAGACGAGATGATTATCTTTTTATAAAATGGTAAATTTATCCAGCAAGTGCCTGAAAATGAATGTCAGACAAACATTTGCTGAGTTTCATACACAGTCAGTATTACAGCGAGCACACTAACTCTTAGGTAAATATAAAGCTATTTTTCTGTGTTAATGTTCTTGTGCACGCTATTATTTCACATCTATGTGAACTGATGACAGTAAATTGTACTAAGCAAGTCCTCAGTGGGCACCACTAGATGTTTGTACCATCTGGGAATGTAACCATATTGAGGGGACGTGTAACTACACAGCTCGTACCCTCTGGTATCATTGTGTACAGTTTTTAGCTCGGGAAATGATGGGGAAGTGCAGGGAACTGTGTCCAGTATGTTCCATGATTACCCAGAGGGCATTAAGTTACAAAATATACCATCATTTGCCACTCACCAGGGGTGTGACTCAGAAATTCACAGACAAACAAGGCGAGGCAGAAAACTTTGCTGCTGAACATCCAAAGACTAAAATGGACTAAAAAGCTTCCCAGCATTAGAGCAAATTGCTGCTCTCCTTTAGGGTATTTTCCAGAGCAAGGTGATAAAACAATATAAGTAATTACTGTGTTTTTGTAGAATGATATAAGGATCTAACCACATGGGGCACATTTCTGCCATCCAAATCAATATTTCAGAGCAACTAAAAACTTACTTAGGTGTTTGATTTGGTCCTTATGAAGTGCTTGGGACTATCAGTGCAACATAGTTTTAAATGCTTGTGATATTATGTTGATTTTTCAAATGTGTGATTTAGTATACATTTTGTATCAAAAAGCAGAAGTGCACCTCTAGCCACACCCAGCAGTGTCATCGCTCTGTACTGTGACATACCCTGGAGTATACATCTACAACAGTGCAGCAAGGTGCAACTACAGCTGTCTGTTTTCAACAAATTAATCGATGATTTATTAAGTGTTAAAATTGAGAATATTGCTTTGTGCTACTTTATTAATAATCACGGCAATAATTGATGCCACTGTAATATATTAGCCTGAAAATTACAACCTGAAGGACCTTACAAATTGTCTCACAGTCACGAACCAAACAGATGTACAGTATTCTTGGCAGCATCTGATCAGTCATACCAGATCAGGCAGTTGTAGGGCAGTCCTGATGATTCATATACTGAGTCACTACCATCAGGGTCACTACAGTGAGCTATTAATAACTGTTACAGTATCGGCCTCCACAAAACAAGGCTCAAGTCTTTCCTTGGGCCCCGTGTCAGGTCTGTTGTGGCTCTCTGTCACCAAGACCAGAGGATATTATGTTGCTGCTTCAGTCACTAGTAGTACTGTTGTCTGTGGAAGGAAACGTGTGTGTGTGTGTGTGTGTGTGTGTGTGTGTGTACGTGCCAGCTATTGCAATGTGGAGTCCGAATCCTGTTTACACACTCACACTGAGGGGACTTGGCTTCTTCGTGGGGACCACATGCAATTGAGCCAGTGCTTCTGTCTATTTATGACTTTCATCCCTGAACTTGGCTGATGTGTATTTGGTTGCGCAGGATGCAACAAACCAGGCCGTATTTTGACAGAAAACCTGGAAAAACAACAGAAGAGCTATAGGTAGCAGTATGTCACAGATTTTTTTGGGGGGGAATTTCATAATTAAGTTGAAGAAAAAATTGTGTGTAATGTTGACAGTCACATCTGCCGTATAGCAGATCTACTGTACTTCATAAGATCAGCATTGGTGCTGATACTAATCCAGTGCAGCACACTGGTCATCACTGCTTTGTCTGTCCTTAAATATTTTTAGATGTAAGTAAAGTTGAAACGTTAACCTGCTGCCAGCAGCACTGTGATCTGGACAAAATCTCATCAGGCTGGTAGAAACCATGATTCTGTTTTTTCTCAGTGGATTCTTCTCTCTGGGCCCCTATTGCTACATCATTATCTGACGACTATATGTGGATGCTCCTCTGTCTGTTTCCATCTTGTTCCTCAGGTGCCCACGCGAGTCGTGCTGCATTCCACATCTCCAGCTTAAAAAAAGTTCAAACCTAACAGGCTGCTGCTGCTAAATATAGACAGTGTTGATAAAAGGCAACTTAACTATGGGAGAAGCTGATCTGGATCTGTCCAGTCTGTCTGGATTGGTTTACCTGGAATGTACAGAACATACATTAGATCAGATGGCCTTTAAAGCTACAGCATCTGTGGTCAAACTCTCAACTATGTAAAAACATCTGCTCGTGCCACGCCTGTAGTTTCTAAACAGCTGTCGGTTTAACTATATTATTACCACTTTGTCCATATTTTATACATGAACAAAGTACACGGTACACTTAATGAAAAGTGACAGGAGTTGTGTTTGTGCCGTCTGCACTGAGGAAGGAAAACATGAAACAGTCACAGCTGAGGTACGTTTGCAGTTGAGTGGTGACAGGTACTGTGGGCCAGTGGAGGCAAGACATGTTCGCACAGGCACTGAGTATTGTTTGTCCACATCGTGAGTGGCGAGCATCACCAGTGGTTCATACTTTGTGCCGCACCGCACAGCACTCGCTGCGCTCCCGTTAACCTCTGTTGCCACAGTATTTGTGTTGATTTAATCAAATATTTTGTTTGTGTTCATGATGTATTACTGACCCTGAGCCTGAATCCTTCACTTGCTGAACAGTGTAATGGATTTGTATTTCTGTTTTGTCTCCAGGAGTGTCACCCCGAGTCCCAGAGATCATGTCGGCCGGCACCCACTCCCCTGGGGGGCCAAATGGCATAATTCGGAGTCAGTCCTTTGCCGGCTTCAGCACGCTACAGGAACGCCGCTCACGGTAAGCAGAAATCTTTAAAATTGTTAATCAACAGTCATCTGATGTTCCTATAAAAATCCACTGGGTCAGGAGATGATAGAAGGAATTTATCTAAGAACAACACAGATTATTGAGCAGAGTTTTAATAATATCTTTAGAAATTGTATTGATTTCCACTTGACTGTGGACTTAGAAAAATAAAACTGAAGCAGCAGAGCCAGAGAGAACCCGACTTTGTCTCCAGCATGGGTCAAGCTCCAGAACATGGGATCCTGCAAAACTATTAATGCAACGTGATAATGTCCTTGCCTGATAAAATACCAAACTCTTTCAAACTGAACAGCCACATTTTATAACTCGTGGTTTCTGTCAAATATCATGATGCCTCAGCCCCAGTGCGTGATAATCCTGATGACATCATTAGGGATTTTGGCTTATTTTCTCAGACTTGCTAAAACGCCTATAAAACTGCAGAAGAGATGTGTAACTTTTATCACAGGCTTTTGTTTGTTTTGCAGACATTATGTTAAACATGATGATCAGATTCTGTATTCATTAACTGACCTGCAGGGTTAAGAAAACTAAGGCGGAGTCTCTTTTAGTCGGGTAAATCTGGCATTGTTTTGCGTGACTCGTAACTTGTCTTTGTGAAGTCTTTTAATGCAGAAGCAGTAAACGCAGTATTCATTCCCTGAAGTCATAATAGATGATGAATCGATGTGAAATTGTAACTATATCACAGAGATGTTCTTGGAAAAGACAACATGTGTTAAAGAATCAGTGTTCAGTAACCTGGAGCCAACTTTCATGGTGCTCAGTGAGCCATAGCAAGTCTCAAGATCCTGTCAAGGAACTGACTTCTTAAAGAGTGATCATCACTTTATTGCATAACCACACAGCTTCCTGATTGTGGTTTCATTTAGAAACAGAAGTTGTGCTGAGAGAAGTTATAGGTTGATACATTTTTTTGAGAGATAAGAGTTTTATCTGAGTTCCTCATCTGTCACGCCTCTCGAATCATCATCATCATCATCACGAGACAAAACCCTCTCACATCGACATCCCAGAAATCTCTCTTACAGTTTTAGACTTCGGGCTCTTGGTGCCTGGTCGTCTTCAGCACCTCTGCTCCTGCTCTGGGAAACAATTTCAAAACAATGTACTCCTCTTTTGACTGACAAGTTACTATTCTGATAACACGCAAGTTAGAAAGCTGCAGGCTTCAGAGACCCCTTGAGTGTGTCAGTGAATGTGTGTCGGTGCTACTGAGCACAGACATTCCATGTATGCACCCATGTGCATTTTATGCATGCATGCAAACATACTGTAGGCTTTGCAGTTTGTGTGCAATGCTGCATGTTCATCTATCAGTCAGTATAGAATTGTGTTTGCATGTTTGTGTTTTAGCGTGTGTCCCTGCCAGGAACCTCTACTGCACTACAGCTCATGTGACCCCAAGGCTATGCATCGCTCTCATTCAGTGTTGCCCTACATCCATGGCAGCAGAGCTTAAGTTGGGTTGCATTCCCTGGCATGCAGCAAGACGTGGCACGTTGCAACTTGTCACCATGTCCCTGGGATGACTCTGGGATTGTTTCATTAAGTGTAGAGAAATGCCATTTGTCAGCTAAATTGCAAATGCTTTAAAAAGCTGAAATGTGCATGAGCAGTTAAGATGAGTCTGGTCTAAAATGGGAATGATTTGAGGAGAAAGAGTCTTGAGACGGGGCTTTACTGTGTAGAAAGCGGGCTTTTTTCTTATTTTGAACATGGAAATTCAGGCTTAGAAATGGCACTGAGCTGTCGTGTTGATTGAAACATATATTTTACAAATTTATTGAGAAAAATATTTGCTAAATAGTTTGACTATTTATGAATTGCTCGAGCAATTTATCAAGTAAAATCGCTGATGGTTTTCTGTTTTCAGGTTTTCAAATAAGACAATGTGCTACTTTTTTTTTATGTCATTAGTGATTGAATATCTCTGGCTTTTGGACTGTTTGGATGAGATAAGCAATTTTACAATGTTTCTTTGGGCTCTAATAACTGTTTAGCAGTTATAGCTGTTTTCTGACAAGTAGCGAATCAAAATAATTGACAAATGAATCAATCAAAGATGATATCGTCCCTACACAGACAGGGTAATGACAAACAGCAGGGTAATGACAGATGATCAGCTTGTGGGTGTATTGGACCGTCCTTCGGTATGTGTGTCCACATTTGTAGTGTCAAGAATAACTCATCACTTAGTTATGTAATAACATATAGTATTAAACAAGTAGACAACACTTTTGATAATTGAATCTTTTCGAGCAGAAACATTGATCAAACATTTTATCGTTCCAGGTTCCTAAATCTGAGAATTTGCTGCTTTTTTGTTTCCTACATTAAAGTAACTTGAATATTTTCACCTGTGACTCTTGTAATGGGCATTTTTCATTGTTTTTTTTGATGAGTCACAAAAATAGATCATTAAAATGATCAGTTGCAGCCTTACATTTGTATGTATGAAACCCATTAAAGGAACCCTGCTGCTGTTTTTTTTTCCTCATATAAACATATCAGCTAATAACCTGTTTTTAACTCCGAGTTTGTTGCTTTCCCCTCTTTGAGTCAGTCATGCTGTTGGCAAACTGCTGGAGGACTGTAGGGACAAGACTGAAGTACAGTTGAATGCCTTTGATTGCCGGCAGTGTGATTGCCTCAGTTTGTGTTCCTAATTGCACAGACATAGCAGATATGTGTGTGTACTTGTGATTTAGCACACACTGGTGACTGATAGAGATATTTACCTCTGAGGCTCTGTTGCGAGTTAATGTGATTGGCAGCGTTTGATTGTTTGTGTGTGTGTGTGTGCGCGCGCGCACGTTTGACAGGTGTTTGCTGACTCCATGTGAATGAAATGTAGGTTAAAAGTGTCAGTGCTGTATTACTGAGTTGTCTTGGTGTGAGCAGTCTTGACATGCCCTCTCCAGCTGACATATGAGATGAATCCATGCTGAGTCTGGCCCAAAGGCATATTCAGGATGCTGTTAAAAAAATACAGAAGTCTCTTCTAATGCTACATTATTAAAGGCAGCCTTCAGGCCCGCCCATCTGAAATACCGTGGGAATCCTGTTTTAAATATTTAATATGAGATGCAGCATTGTGCCTGTGTGAGAACCATCTCCGTCTGTTAGTCCAAAGTAGATGTTCAGGTTAAGGTGCTATGCTTTTCCCCTGCTTATGTTATGAGATTTTTCTTGTGGAGCACAATGCTTTTTTTCCAATTTAAAGTCATTGCACAGGAGACAAAACATTTATCTTGCACACTGAGGGGAAACTGAGCTCTGGGTGGACCCTCCATGGCATTCACTAAGGTGTGTTTGTGTCTGTGTAGGTGTAACTCCTTCATGGGGAACTCTGCGGTGCCGAAAAAGCCTCAGTCCAAGCCCAAGAAGTCTCACCCCTCGGGCCACAAGGCAGGCAGCGGCTCTAGAGAGCCTCAACCCAAAAGACTGGAGGAGGTTTACACAGCTCTCAAACAAGGCCTGGAGTAAGTGACCTTTACACTGATGTGCACTCACAGTATACCTTGGACACACAATTCATAAACTCATCAAATGATCCAGAGTAATAATTGCTTTCAAAATGAGTGAAATATCTGTGATAAACAGTCCATAAATGTCAGTAGTTAGTTTCAGGTCATGTACGTTTACATAACTGCACAAATCTTTATATACAGATGTGTTTATGCAGCTGTCATTTTATACTTATTGTTTCAATTATGGCAGTGTGAAGTACTTGTATCTCAGAAAAGACAGGACATTAAATTAATTAGCCGGCAGAAAATTGATCAACAGCTTCAGTCTTTTTGCAAGCAAAAAGGCCAAATTTTGACTGAGTCACTCCTCTCTGTTAGGATTTAATACCTTTCTTTGATTTATATTCTAGTTAATTGAAGTTTGGGCTTTTATTCAGATAAAACAAGCAACTCAGAAACAGTATTGTGGCATTTTTTCATTATTTATTTATTTGCTTTTTTGTTACAGTTTATGGACCAAATAGTTAAATAATCACAAAAAGAATTGGCAGATTAATCGACAAGGAAAGTAACTGTTAGTGGCATGCCTTCAATAAACAGTTTAATCTTTGCGCATTGCTTTCATTTTTTTGCCCTGCAGTGAGTATTTGGAGGTCCATCAAACAGAGCTGGACAAACTCATGGCTCTGATGAAGGACATGAGGAGGAACTCTCGTCTGGTGAGAAACTACTGCACATCAGAGTACAAGTAGTGTGCACTGACAATGTGGCATCTCCAGAGCTTAACAACCTTAAACAATAGTCTTTGCCTGACATGAGGCATCATTATTTGTTTGAGGTTTTCATGCATTTCTGTATTTTGAAACATCAAATTGGATATACAGTATTGTGGCTTTCAGAAAAATCCAAGCTTCCCAGTGGTAGTTAATCACTAAACTGTTAATGATATTTACAAGTTACACACTAATAATTACAACCTGATGACTTGAATGAAACACAATCTTAAAGGCCACAGGAGGAGCAAAAGATCATTTTTCTGATCCCAGACATGTTTACTTGTCATGATAATCACAAATAATCGTACCAGTTCAAGTTCAGCATCATGAATTCACGCATCTTGATTTGCTATAATGCACACAGTCACAAACGCTTACTGTACATTTAGAGAGAGTGTTAACTATGATCGTAAAGGCAACTGCAGTCTGCTTTGCATTACTTAAGCAACATTGTCCTTCTGTACTGAAGTTATGACTGTGTGTGTGTTTCTGTTTCTCCGTGTGTTCGCTCCAGGGAGTGCTGTATGATCTTGACAAGGTGAGTTGATGAAAGGGTGGGTCTACTGTAACAATCACTCCAGGTTTGGTGTGTGTTGAGGGAGACTTTGATGGTGAAGGGAGGGAGACAAATGGCTGAAGGCAGAAGAAAAAATGGACGAAAGACAGTGGAGAAGTGAAGAGAGAGGAATATGCAGGAAAAGGATAAAAGAGTGAAAATTGTTGATGGGCCAGCTTGAGAGTAATGGCTGTGAGACTGTGCTGAGAGAGAATAAAGTATATCATAACAGAAAATATATATACGTTTCCAAATAAGAGGCAACACAGAATTGAGACATTCTGTCAATCGGTGAAATTGCTTTAATAATGCTTAAAGTAAGCACAGCTTTGCAGATTGTACTTCATTATATCCCGGGTGTAGACGCACATTATTTTTACAGCTGTAAACCATATGTAACCACATTCTCTCAGGCAGCAATAAATCTTGTTCTGTGTGTCTTTCTGCAGCAAATCAAAACCATTGAGAGGTACATGAGACGTCTGGAGTTTCACATGAGCAAGGTAAGCACTGATGTGTGATAACAGAGTGGTTTTAGTTCAGCGCTATAGCACGGATTGTTTGTTTGAGCATACTGAACTGTACCGAGTCTGATCTGTTTACTGCGCGTGCTGCTGAAGATGTTTCATCTCACTACCTTCTTTTAAGCCTCTTCACATCTTAAACTAGTATTGTGGTCACAAACCACAGTACTACTGTACTGCGGATATTTAGCTGTTTTAATGGTTGAGGCAAAACCTTCCCCATCAAGGTTGCCAGGTGGGACAACTCATTGTCCTATATCCTCCCTTTGTAGTATCCTGCCAGTTGGAGACATTAATCCCCTACAAGGTTGTGAGGTTTGGTGAAGTTTCTTCCCCATTCCCTTCTATTGTCCCATAATGGTCTCCCTTGCTGTGCGTCAAATCAGACGTGACAGCAGGCAATCAGAAAACACACACCCAAACAACAGCGCAACTCCAAAGGTAACCATGGTTACCCAAAGATGGGGGCCTTCGAAGTCCCGAGGAGCGCAGATGAGCCACTGGGTGGTGTTAACCCTTTGTATGCTTATACATCCTGGCAGACAATAAAATCTCACACATGTACACAACAATGCAAGAAAAGACAAAGAAGTAGCCCTTGGACATGTTTGTAGCTCATAGGGTGTTTTTGATGGTGCTGAAGGCAATAGTGAATCTAGGTCAGGGCAGTTAGTAGGTTAGTGATGAGCGACTGACAGTGTACTTAAAGATGAACAGATGAGAGGAGGAGAATCATTTGAAAATAGGTGTTTGCCTTCGAAAATTGGATAATATATCTGCAAGTGTGCATCACTTTGGCTTTGATAATGAAAAAAAAAAAACCAACCAAACCAAAAAAGTGGAGTCAGTGCTTGTTCCTGTGTAACATCCAGTGCTCTACTATTCTTTCCAGCTTGGTACAGAAATAGATTTGAATGTGCTTGCAGATGTTTAATATAGTGAAAGATTTTTTTTATTATGTAAAAACCTCAAAAGTCAAACAAAAAGGAAGTTAATTCTAGCTCTGTACATATAATCCAGCACTCCTTAGCTAAACTCTTGGCTTTTTATTAGCTGGGGATGACATATTTACATTTTCTGACCTTTGAATTGAGAAATAGACTCCACAGATTATTTGTCATTATTTGAATCTATGAGATTGTAGTGTTCACCATAATGTTTCTGTGCAGCACATGATTTTTACTTGTAGTAATTATTATGTAGTACGAGAAATAACAGAAGTATCTTGTTCTGCAAATGCTGGATGCAGCTTAATGTTTTTGATGTTAGCCCGAAATGTCTTCATGCAACATTTGAATTTATAGACCTTGTAAAAATGTTTCACTACTACTTTATCATTTCTAATATTCATTTTAAGGGAATTGAAAATAATGTGTAAAGTTAAATAAGGCAGATGAAATGTTGATTATTATCTATTGAATAAAACTAATGCCAGTGCCAAGAGCACAGCTACTGCCTTGACACACAGACACACACACAGAGAATAGGTGCATTTGCCAAATGTCAGCAGATAACTATGGAGTGAAATCAGTTGTAGAGCGTCCAGCTAGGAGAATTGGTCAACAACAAAATCATTGATGTCAGGAAATTAAATAACATGCAGACACACAAAAAGCTGGCAATATCTTTATATAAGTTAGTTCTACTTGTGAACTGATGCTAATTATGTACAAATTAGCCTTGGAGAGAGTTTTAGTAACAAATATGTTTATTCTTTTATCAGGTCTGTATGTTACTTTCAGAAAAATAAGCAGTTGTGTATCCTGTCAAGATTGTCTGTGTATGTTATCTATTTATTTACTAGTGGGTGATATATTACTGTTGGATCAATATTAGTATTGGCCTCAAAAATCCAGTACTGGTTGAATTATAATTTTTTAAGAGATATGTGTGCTGTACTGTAGTATTACGAGGTTTTAGAGTGGCCCGGTCATGACACAAGAAGTAGGACATGGCAGAACAGGGAGAAGACAAGTGGTACTAATCAGCCTGTGGAGAGGAGGCGTAAACATTGTTTTTCCAGTTGTCCCCTCAACAGTGATGGGCAATTAGCGATAAAAGCTGCTGCTTTGGTAGAGTGATATACAGGAAGTAGAGTATGCACAGATTTAATTGGCAAACTCAAGTAAAAGAGGAGTGGATCCCAGTGTGCTGATATCTCAAGTGCATATTATAAAATACTTATTAGAGGAACAGGCAAAAAGTACTTAGTCACATGAGTCAGTGGCAAACGCGTGCAGTACAATTCAAAACAGAAAAAAAAGAACACCACATACACTTTACCTCATCTCAGAACGGGCAATAAAAAAAAATCCATACAGCCAGTCAGTCAGTAGCTCTGACATGATGTCCAGTGTTTCAGCAGCTGTTCACTACAATAAGTGTGTATGTGTTTGTGTCAGTGCTCAGGCTCAGGCGTGTCTCTCTGTGCTGGACAGCTGCCGTGCAGAATGACTTAACAATCATCCATCAGCAAGTTGTTAATGTGTGCGTGTGTGTTTGTGTCTCACATCAGCCTGCTCTTTTGTTCCTGTTCGTGTTGCTAGCTGCCTGCAGATGATCACGCTGTAATTGGCATGCATGGAAGAAGCAGGTGGCACAATACAGGGTATGTGGTGTGTGTGTGTTGCCCAGCAGTATCAGCAGGGCATCATTAAAGAGACGAGTGGCAGAGATTGAAGGTGAGAGGAGCGGCTGCCAGACGCCACCTCTTCCCCCCAGACAGACAAATTGTGTGCATTCATCATTTGCCAAATTCAATCCATAATGAGTGTGAATACATGATTCAGCGCCTTTGTTGTCATTGCACATATGAAACTGATTTTCCCAAAGTACTCAGACTATAAGAAAAGCACTGAACCTGTACAATAAATAAAGCTTAATGGAAGTGCGTCTTTAAAGGCCAATAGCACCCCCACCTTCCTTGACTTTGTTGTTGACTATGTAGAAGACACATTTTTGTGTTTCCTTTCTGTTTTGCCTTTTATGTTTGTCCTGTTTCTGGGGTGAAACGTGCCTGAGGCGCAGCAATATGCTGATGGATGTCCTCTGGAGTGGAGCTTGGCTGTCCTTCAGAAGGACATTTCCTTGATGGCAGCAAGAGGCTGTAGTAATTGGGGACAAATATTAGCTTAATTAGCTGATAATGATATGATTGCTGGTTGCCTGAGAAGAACGATGGCTTTTCATCATCCTCGGTTTGTGAAGGCCTAATTTTGTTAAAGGAACGAATAACTCATTGTAGTCATCAGCTTGTTTATTTAAGTCCAACGCTCATTTTTTTCCTTGTGTTGTTGTAAACAGATGTTTTTTTGACCTGTTGCTTGTTGGCTGTGAACTAGCTCTGTACCAGTCAGGGAGTTGAGAATAACAGCTGTGGTTGGAGAGGGTTTCAGAGCTGGCTCAGCTCTGCTGCTGCAGCCCCATCACATGCACCACATACCACAGACAGACAGGTGGGCTGGGTCCCATTCAGGGGTGGGAGGTGCTGAAGGGAGCTGGTTGGTTTGAGGTGAAGCCGTTGGGATGAGGGTGGATGTCATTTTGTATTCATGTGTGCCAAGCTAAGTTATTATACTGTAATATCATCAAGCTGCATTACTCGTCCTCCAGAACAGACACATCCCACTGCAAAACACTTTTTTTTACCATAAACCCTCACGTGCCCACCCAGCATAGTAAAAATATGCTCTCCATACACATGTCAACATGTTATATTTTGCTCCGACTAACATAGCTGGCAGTGTTCGCTTCAGACACAAAGATACACAGTCAGAGATGCTATTAGGACGGCAGGAGCCACAATGGCCCGTTTTCTCCCACTTCTCCCTAATGAGTGCCATAAAGACCATGAGGCATCAATATTTCAGCGCTTTCAGGCAGGCTGTGATGATTCCCTTTGATGAGTCTCACCAGAGGTGTTTTGGAAGCCAGAAAAGCAGACAGGATGTAGAAAATCTGGACTGTTGGTAGATTTCTGGGAGAAATGACTTAAACTGAGTCAGGAGTATTTAAGTATCTTGAAGTCTCTTGTTTTTGTCTGTTAAGGAGAATTGGACACTTGCTTTGATTTGGGAGAAAGCTTAAACTAAGTGAATAATGAATCCTTTCTCTTTGGTGCAGTTTTTGTCCTGACTTTAACACTTAAACAACTATATAAAAAGTAAATGTAGCACTTTTTTAAAATTTAAACTAAGGCTATTTTTTACACCGTGAAACGACACAAACAAAACTAAAGACAACAGGAAATATCAGATATTAATATCCTAAAGAGAGAGATAAAGTATTTACAATTAAATAAAAGTAAATGAATTATTTATGCTAAAATAATGACAGTAAAAATATGAGAACAGTAAAACTAAGTTAAAACTAAGATACAATGAGCAATTATAAAAGTAAATGCAGAAAAATCCATTTTTCACCAGTGGACTCGACTGAACTATTACTGCTCAGGTTACATCATCTTATGTTGATGGAAACGTTCTCTCTTTCTTTGAGGGTTTGGATTAGATCAGGCAAACTGAAGTCGGGCAGACGTCTTCAAATTAGCTTTAAACGCCGTCTGTTGTTGTTCCTTCGCTTTGGGAGTGTCGTATTGAGGTCGCAGACCGGGACGACACAAGCATCTGCTACTGGGGGATATGGTTACACTGATAAATACCAGCTGTATCTGCTCTGTCAGTTCAGCTATTACTTTCTCCTCTGTGTATTTTATCTTTGTCTTGTCTCACTTGATGACTGTTTCTCTATATCAGTCATTTCTGCTTTGTTTCATTTCTGTAATTTCACTTTGTCATCTCTTTCATTGTTTATTCATTTGTAGCTGATTTCCTTTTTATTCTTTTGGCAGAGTCAACATTTCTTCTCAGTCACACTGAAGCCTGTTATTTAGCCATCTTGTGATGTGGCAGTATGTAATCAGTGTTTCATGCTCTACAATGGCTTTTACTCTTATTGAAACCCCATCATCTGTAGTGGGTTAGTCGATACTGCACAAGCCTAAAGCTGTTGTGGGCATCCTTGAATGAATTCCAGTGAGATTTGAACATACCCAGAATAATTTACATGGCAGTTTGAAGTTTTTAGGGAATTTGTTTCCTGCCCAGGGATGTTTCGATGTATGTGGGGCTTCAAACTTCAAAGACTCACTTGATTTCATTAGTGCTGACATTTTTTTCTTGTGTGTGTGCATTAATGAATGTGAATGTTTCCATACCTTTGAATAGACTTGTACCTGCGGAACATTTACTAAAGGCGGAGGCACTCTGTGTGTATGTGTGTGTGCGTGCAGGTGGACGAGCTGTACGAGGCTTTCTGCATCCAGAGCCGTCTGAGGGAAGGTGCCAGCCGGATGAAGCAGGCCTTCTCCTCCTCTCCCTCCACTAAAGGCACCAAGGAGAGCATCGCAGAGGTCAACCGCCGCTACAAGGAATACACTGAGGTACTGGCATAAATCACCAACACATACATAGAGAGGAAATATTCATAAACATGGAACAACAGCATATGAACTAAAGGGCCACATGTACAATATTTTCCTTATTTTATTTTTCCTTTTTTATGATGTGAACATTTGTGTGTAACTCGTTAAGCCTAACAATGGCTGACAAAATCCAAATTATACTTTAATTATACCCCCCCCCCAAACACACACACACCACACACACCACACACACACGTCATCACCTGATTGCTATTGTTGTTCTTGTCCTGTGTGACAAGGGGCTGTTTATGTGATCAGGCTTATCTTTCTGTCTACTTCAGAACATGGCTGCATTCGAAAGTGAACTAGAGAACCTGCTTGGAGAGTTTCATATCAAAATGAAAGGTGAGATAAGAATTAGAGCTGACAGGATTACCAGTTCACAGGAAATAATTCACCACTGTTAACAAGAAAGTTTTAGTGATGAGACGACAGCTCATCATTGTACTACATTCATTGCAACCTATTCAGTGTGTGTCCACTCTGTTTCGTCATAGACCATGTTATCAAAGTTTTCCTGATACTATTACAGAAAAATCATAGCTTTAATCCTGGAAAAGGCAGTATGTCTATCAAGAGCCATTAGATTTGCAGTGATTTTTTTTTATTATTAATCAAAACCACTGATTAAGAAAATATAAGCACACATTTGTAACTACTTTTGGCTCCAGGAAATAACAGGTGTTTTTCACTATTTCCTGACATTTTATAAGCTAAACAAATAATAAGTTAATTGATAAAATTGACAGATTAATCAGTAATGAAATTAATCATTAGTTGCAGCCCTAAAGGTCATGTGTGCTCCTGTGATGCACAGTCACTCATTAGAAGTCACTTAAAAACAAAAGAGGTTGCTCAGAATCACATTTTCACCTCTGTCATGTCCAAATGTTTCTTTTCTTTTTTTTTTTTTTAACCTGTTTCCTTTCTCTGGCAGGTTTGGCTGGCTTTGCGAGACTCTGTCCTGGAGACCAGTATGAGGCAAGTTCATTTTTTTTCCATGTAACAAAAGGTATTAAACAAAACAACTTTGCATTTATGTTGATATCAATATGTTCAATTTTTCAAACCTATGTAGGTATGAGTTAGTGTATAAAGACAATTCATTTGATGGTAGCATATGAAGGACACATCCTGCCCTCTGTTATTGAAAAATATTACTATCGTGTATAAACTGTGATGCTGTCAAAGTTTTGACCTTTCTCTGGCTTTTGGCTTATGTCTCTGTTTTTCCCCTGGTTTTTCATTCTGTCCTCCAGATCTTTATGCGGTACGGCCGTCAGAGGTGGAAACTGAAGGGCAGGATTGAAGTGAACTCCAGACAGAGCTGGGATGGAGACGAGATGATCTTCATGCCTCTCATCTCTGACCTTATCAACATCAAGGTACTGTGGAAATTCAAATGACCGAGCTCTGTGCCCAAATATTGTGCTTCAGTAAATGAACACAGATGTTTTTTTTCTTATACAGTGGAGATTAAATAATTACTATTAAAACTATTTTGGTAGTTGGTTAATTGTTTCAGTTAATTTTCAAGCAAAAATGTCAACATTTTCTCACAAATGACCATGTGATGCTTTTGTCACATATGACGATAAACTATATATTTTGAAGTATGATGGTCAGTTGTGGTGAGTATTTTTCAAAATTTTATACACAAACTGATTGAGAAAATAATGAGCAGATTAATCAATAATAAAAATCATTTATTGCATCCCTAATACATAATATCAAGGTCTGATTCATGACCATAGTTACCAGAGCGTGGTGTCATTCAGACCATTGGCTCTCAATAATGCTAGCAGCTAGGGACTTTATTTTACTGCATCCTGTCAGTGCAAACTTCATCACAGCTCCATCTTATTCACTGTAGATACTGTACTTGTCTCTGTACAAGTTCTTTTCTGCAGTTAAAGATATTACAGGGTACATGCAAAATCACAACTGGAGCAAAACAACATATTAGCTACAAGAGAGCTTGTTTTTGGTCCAATTAGGTGACAGAGCTGAAGGGTCTGGCCACTCACATGCTGGTGGGAAGTGTGATCTGTGAGACAAAGGAGCTGTTTACTGCCATGCCTCAGGTGGTGGCTGTGGATGTCAATGACCTGGGGACCATCAAACTCAACCTGGAGGTCACATGGTAGTAAGTAGACTTGTACAACAATTGGAGTTACTATGAACTTTTAAAATATGTGGATTTTTATCAGTTGTTCTGTTTATCCAGTTACTTTTTAATCCTCAAGGGCAAACCAGAGTCATTACATTACCATTTCAAAGGGTTCAATAACATTTCAGCAGGGTGAACAGTCTTTGCAATTTTTTGTTTATTATTGAATTGGCCATATGTTACATTAAGTACATCCATAGTAACTGATATTAATGGTGAAGCTGTAAATTCAGTGACTTTACTTGTAGTTTCCTGCCACCTGATGGAGAACATGGTCATTGTCTGTTGTGACACTTGACTAAGAGAATAATGAATGAAATCACTTGGGTTGGCAGAAATAAATCACATAGGCTAATCTCATAAGCACCTTGTTTATATCCCCCCATTCAGCCCCTTCGATGCTGAGGACCTGACTCTGTCATCTGGCAACGTGAGCAAAGCCACTGCTCTCCAGAGACGAGTGTCGGTGTACAGCCAGGGCACACCGGAGACCCCTACCTTTCAGGACACTTCCTTCTTTGTGAGTCCAATGCACAAGCGCTTCCTTTAGCTTGTCTCCTGTGGTGGGAGACAGTAGGTTTGGTTGTATGTGTAGTTCCTAGCATAGTGCTGTTTGAGTGCTTTGTACCATAAAGAAATAGTCATGGCCCACATTTTTTGTCTTGATGCATCATGCTTATGTAAGCAGTGCCAGCCCTATCCCTAATTAACCCTCACCTGCTTTCCTGCTGTCTTCCTCCCCTTTGCATTGCCACATCAAAACCCCTAACCCGTACTGTGTCCCACTTCACATGTTCATCCGTCCCTCTTGTATCCCACTCACCCGCCTTCGCCCAAATACCCAACACCTAAAGAAGTGGCGGCCATATCTTGTGGAACGCCAACACCCATCCTTCCTGCACATGCTCCGAGACACCCTGCTAGAGAAGCTAAGGCGCAGTCGCTCATTTGGTGACCTGGCCTCACTCCGGCCAAGGCCCAGATCCAGTCTGGAGGTCTATGTGAGTGTGTTGTGGCCCCTCTATCCTCCTAGCCTGACTCTTGTGTGCCCCCTGCCTCACTGATATGATGGGGATGCTGGTGTGGACACACTAGAGCTTGCCCAGTCTCTTTCTCAGGGCTGCTGGATGCAATGTGTGGCTATTTGCATGATTAGTTGCATGACGTGCTTTAAACTGTCTGTTTGTATTGTGTTTTTCTGTTCAGATTTAACTTCGGAATCATTCTTGGTTGAGCAAATATGGTTTTAAAATTCAGGAAACAAGTGCTAGTCATGTTTTAAATATGTCTGCATTTTCCTTTTCCACTTGACAATTTTCTCATCCACTGATTTCAAGTTATAACTAAGTCTTCATTATCTATTTTATTTTGTGAAGCATAGTTCTTCTCCTGTTTTTTGTTTCAGTCCACTTTACAAGATGATGTCTTTGAGAATGGTGGCTGTGGGGTGGCTGAGTGCAAGCGTCTCTCCTTCACCTTCTCCGACACCTCTGGTTCCACGCCTAGCCCCAGCCTCGCCCCTAGCTCCCACTCCAACCCTGAGATCACCGTCACTCCTCCAGAAACTGACCTATCACTGACACAAATCCTCCCCTCAAGAGAGGACTCCATCCCAGAGGAACATTTAGTGGAGGAAGAGGAGGAGTACGAAGAGAACGGGGAGACGGGTAGTAGAGGAAGTAGAGGCACCAGCCCCAGCCTTGTCAGTGACGAAGCCGAGGTGGCAGAGGACTCCGAGTGGGAGCGCACAGAGTCCCAGCAAAATTCAAGCTCCAACTGTGGTTCAGCTGCCCCATCCCTGTGTTCTGATGGTCACCTGTCTACAGTGGCTCCTGAGGATGTTTTCCTGGATCCCACTGACGAACTGAAACCTGTTGAACTGGACACCGAGGAGGCGGGCAGCCTGACCAGGCAGCTCGTGAAGAGGCTGACTTCTTCAGAAATTGTGTCACCCACTGGGAGCTCTACTGAGGGAGGAGGAAGCCTGAGCTGGGCAGGGGAGGGAAGCAGGGCTTTCCTGGAAAGCAGCCTGGAGGAG